AATAGATTTTAAAAAACAAGAAATAAATGACAAGAATTTGAATTTGACTAATAGAAAACACAAATAATCAGGGACATCTGAAATAATGTATATTTTAGTTCAAAATATATTTAATTGTTTGCTCTTTTCGTATGAAATATCTTTATGTGTGATTTGGAAATGAATTTGCTTTTGGAAAGCTTTGTATTGCAAGTAGAACAATTGAAGTGAGCTACTCATTGCTAATAGTTTGCATATGATCTTTTAAATTACATCTTCGATAGAAAACTTTTCCGCATGAGAATTTATATCCGTGAGAAGTTATACAATTATTATTCGATTTTTCAAAAAAAAAAACTTTCCCTCAAATTTATAAATACAGCTTCTCAGCAATATGACTCATCATGTTGTATTCCATATTCGAGAAATATTTTTCGAATACAGCTTCTCACGAATATAGCTTCTCATACGATATGTCTCATACTCAATTAATCGAGCGAAACGTTTGTCACGTAGGTATGAGTCATACGGATATTCCTATTTCCTGAAATTATCTTCTTGCACATATCACACTTCCATATCTTTTTGTTTACTCAAACTTTTTTATTTATCACTCCTTGGGTTCAGCTGTTTTTCAATCGTTTCTTCCAATCTTTGCTCATGTCATTGACAAATCTCTGTTTGCTCCGTTTGCGCTTCTTCAAATTATATGAAATCTTCTATCTTTCATCTCACACCGCGCAAAAATTTTTAAAATCTTCGAAACTGCTTGCGGAGTCATACTTTATTTCTAAAAATTTTTAATGAACATATAAAGTTTTGATGTTGCACAGTTGGAAGAATAAGGAAAGAAAAAAAAATACCCTTTGTTTGGAGTAATTTCTTGCCAATTCTAAAATTTGGTCAGATTTAACAGTGCACTGAACGTTTCTGTATCAGAAATAACACTGCTTGCTACTTGACAATTGCTTAAAGATGAAATTTCGTTCACTTCCAAACATATTAGCATTGAAAAAGCATTCATTCTAGTACAGTATGAACATCTCTTATTCAAACACAAACACAATAACTCCAAAGCAAAATTTGCTCAAATTGCACAACTATAAATTACTATGAAGCTTCAAAACGTTTCTTATAATGCGAAACTTTGAAAAGCGACTATGATTTTCAGTTAGAATAAAAGAAATAAAATTTAATGAATAAAATTTGTGGAGAAGTTTAACAAAGACCAGTTAGTCACTTTTAGAAATTTTAAAAGATTGTGAGGTTATTTAGATGAGCAAACTAACGTATATTAGCAATCCATATGTAATTATAATAGTTTTTTTTTTAATTCTTTATACTAAATAATTTCATTTCAACTACTACATTGCATTATGAAAATGCATTGTGAAAAATAATTTATGCAAGGCACATATTTTTTACACAGTTTCATTTCACTTCGCTTCAATTTTCTTACTTTAAAAGTGAAATGATATTAGCGAGAGGGAAAATTGCATTACTGCATCTCTTGTGTTGACATTATTTGATTTATACATGTTGAATAATCTTATCAAATTCGGATTTTATATCCATTCATAAGCTTAGTTTTCAAATTCTTTTGTTTATGTGTGTGTATGTGTATGCGTGTGTGTATGTGTGTGTATGTCTGTGACCAAATTAACGTATTAAAACTTTAATTACTTTTGTATTTAATAGAAATCTCTTCCACATATAATGTGGAAGAGATTTCTATTAAATAAGTCATAATATCAATTGATTACTTCTAATACATATCAGCGTTTCAAATTTATACATAATGAAATTAAAAATATGCAACAATGAAATGAAAAGAAAACGGTGGTAAAATCCTATCTGTCATTAACAGTATCAGCGTGTTGATTTCGTCCAATAACTGTTGCACAATGTCTGGTTGGTATCACTTGAAATGCTGAGCCAGATGTTATCGGTTCGCCATCTATGGCTATGTAACCTCCACAATTGCCCAATGGCTCTACACGGCAAGCTCGGACTGGAATTATCTGCAATCCCTCACTAAAAAATTCTTTCGAAACTGAAAGTAAATTTAGCAAGGGCAAAAGAAGGCAGTTTAACATTAGCTTCGATTTGTTCTTGTAAACACTGAAGGGATGAAGAAAGATGATTTACAAATATTTTACATATATTCTTTTCGATTGCTTTTAATCGAAATTCAAACAAACTCAAGTAACCTGTAAAAAAGAATAAGTCAAATGTGAGCAATCATTTATTCCAAGCATCATTTTGGCAACTTCAAATCGTGATTTAACATTGTTCCAATCCACGTATGTTAAATATAGAAAGTCATCATCCAAACGTGCACACGGAAGGTAAGGCACATCACTTCCTGAATTGTGAATAAAAAAATTTTTAACAGTTGCTTTGTTCACCTCCTTCTTTACCAAACATTCGCCATACAATATAATGATGAAATGCCGTTTTGGATTTTAAATTTCCACCTGATTCTACCTTGCACAATTATGTTTATGACAGTCATGTGATGACGATTTGGTACGCTATTGTCAATTTATTGGTTATTCGAACTACAAAATAATTGCTCTGTTAGCTTGTTCATCAGTGAATGGATAAGTTAATTATTAAAAAATGCTATTTGATTAATTGAATTCCCATTCGGTATTTTCGGTCAAATATCAACTGGCGGACGATAACTTAGTTAATTACCATGGTCAATGATCGAATAGTTCGGTAAACTTTCTTAAAAATGAATTAATCAGTCTGTCAATCAATGCATAACCAATAATCATTTAATACACCAATAACTTGTTTTAAAAAAGAGAAAGAAAATGAAAGTATAGAATAACTAAAAAATGGACGAAATTGAAAATAACTGAAAATATTAAGGAATATCCAAATGAACTTACCCAAATGAGAAAGACTTGTCAAACAAACGTAAACGAAATAACCTTCGATCATATCCCAGTCAGATCCGATTGGTTCACAGAGAGCAGGCACCTACTGATTGGTTAATTTACTTTTCTTAGATTCCTATTATTTGTATCCAGTTTAATCTGATAAAAATATAAACTACAGAGACACTAAATTTCATCTACAAAATATTCAACCTTTAATAAACAATGCTCTTAAACAAGCCTGAAACATGACATTTCTTAACAGCCAATATATTTTCATTTCTAACCAAATTCGGAATAAATCTGTTGATTCTAACTGTCACTTATCACTAAAGAATGCTTCCATTCGACATCAAATTTCGAGTTTTCTTTGGTACTTTAAGAAAATTCCCATCTTTATTTACCATACATAGCCTTACATTTCACTTCTTTCACGTTGATTTGAACTGACTGCTTTCAGACGAACATGTATCAAATAATCAGGAATGAAATGTTATACTTGCACGAGGTCATCGCCTCTAAAAACCGGGAAGCTATTACTGATGCTACCACTTGCTTTGCCGCATTCAGAATCCATGAAACTCTCAACGGGCCGGTATTCAAAATGACTTTTGGCATATTTTTCACGTTCCAGATCATTCCTTAAATCATTCAATATTTTTATGAGATAAATGTGATATTAATCATTTTTCATTATATATTGGCTTGATTGAATTCACTATACATTGACCTGATCAAATAATAACGATTCAAACTTGGACCAAACATAAATTTTTATACTTAAGTCAAATCTCCCCCTCCTTCGCCCCACAGAAATTATTTTTAAACTAAGTGAAACTTCCTGAAAAAAGAACTAAAAAATAAAAAAACACTAAAGAAGCTACCATAATTTTGCCGAGCACTGCAAAGCATCATCATGAACTGGCAAGTACGAAATCCTGCCTTTATAGCGAGCAACTTGCGGTAATTCTGGAAAACGATCATGTCAAATTCAACTTATTCATTATTTATTTAAATAATAAGAAAACAAAAACAAAGATAAAAAATCAGCAAAATCCTAAAAATTTTTTTCATTGCGACATGAAAAATATCTTCTCTTTTTTCCCATACAAAAAAATTACTTGCAACTCGTAGAAAGGCTTCCATATGCAGTCGCGCCATACCTGCCCAACGGAAACGTTCACTTCCAATATCTTCAAATTATTAACATTAATTAATGTCACATGTAAGTAAACAAAGATTTAATGGATAATTTGCTGATAGTGAAAGAGACTAATCATTGCCTGTCTTGTTATTAACGCATCGATATCATAATAAACGAATGATATCAGAAGGAACTATTTAACCAAATAATCGTAATAGTTTTTACTAAAAGAAATTCTTCTATGACTGACGAAACCTGCGATAGTCAATGTTTAGGGGATGTTAAAGTATTAGCGCTTTATGTATTAATTATTACAAATTAATTTTGTCGTTAAAGATTGCAATATATGGCAAATTATTTCAATGTTATGAATATATACAAGACATTTATTGTTCAACATCCTAAAACTCGCTTGAAAACAAAAAATAAAAGAATTAAATAATTCATGGCATAAATTATTAAATCATTTGGAATGAAAAAAAAGTAAATGAAGTGAAACGAACCAATATCAGCAATAAGACCCCAAGTAAGCGACATGAACATTGCTTTACTACCATCATGTTCGGTTTGCACATGATTAATACGTAACGGAAGATAACGTGGCCGTGCCAACATCACAGCCATTTCGGTACAAAAAATTCCGCGTGGTGGGAATGGTTCACTGGAAATTACAACATATAAAATCATATGTAAGTTATAATTTGTTAAGTAATTCATATTTATTTAAAGAAGTGAGTTTAACATCAATTATCTTACTTGCACTGAAAGCATATGCTAGCTGCAAGTCCATTACTTGTACCACCGGGTATATGAGCTAATGGCATCTTTAGTGCTCGCTCACGGTCTCGTCGCATCAGAAAACCTGATATTACTTCTAATATCAATCCATCGCCGCTAATAGCAGCCACAGCGTCGTAATTATCGAGTTTGAGATTTTTTGCTATTTTAATTGCGTGTTTCCGATAAACTTAAAACTTTCAAAAGTTTATTAAACTAACTGCGCTATCAAACAAAAAAATTGCATGGTTTAAAAAAAATTTCACTGCAGGGAAAAAAAGAAAAAGAGAAAACGGGAATGGAAAGAACTAATAAAACCTGTTTTAACAATATCATAATTAATGTTGGCAATTTGTAAAATTGGTTCAACATGTGTCTCCCATAATTTTAATCCACGTTTCTGGCCACTAAAAGGATTAACGATAACCAATATATGACGACGTGGCCTTATCACAGCGGTGGTTAGATGCGCTGAAAATCGATAAATTGACGATTCATTTTTTAGATTAAATTCTAGCAAGTTATTAAGTATTACAGCAAGTATTGTCTATTACTTTTTTTTTACATTTTATAAATGTAATTAGATAAAGACAAATGTTTGTTGAAGAGCTCCAACATTCGATATGTCGTCATTCACATACAGTTACATCCACATTATTTTTTCTCATTCGTAGTCAGTACTTTATCATCTTTTTTGACACTTTTATAATTTTAATGATAAAATATTGATGTTAAAAATTTAAGAATTGTTGAACATTTTGAAATTTCTCTAAAAAAAATTATAAAAGATTCGTTCATCTTAACCAAAATGAACTCAAATACTGCACTTACGTGCTCTTGACGCTGTAATTTTTTTGGCAATAAATTTATTTGCATGCTTCACTGTATCTTCAGAATTGAAATTTAATAAAATTCGAACAAGGCAACGCCTTTTTTTAATGACAGGAAAAGTTGTCAAGATAAGTTGCCATTCGCTTGTCCCATTAATAAAACCTGAAATGATTTCATGAGCGAAAAAAAATTTCATAAAATTAATAAAGCCAAATATAATAAGATTATGACAATTTAATTATCACTTTTGCTAGCTTCTTTATGACTACACAAGACATTCAATTTTGTTCTCAATTGGTGACAGTCATTAATAATCGGATGGAATGGATAATTTTAATCATTTAACAATTAAAGATATGATGAAATATGAAGTAATCGTTAAACCACGCACGTGTTACTATTTGCAGTGCAGTGCAGTTGTCCTTTATTTCCTTATTTTCTCATAACATAATAAAATGATCAAATTATATTTTTACAAAAAATTTAGAAAATATTGCAAACGTCAAGCTAGCTGAAGTGATGCTTGAAAAGCAAAATGATCACATTTCATATTGTTTAATTTTTTAAATTAAATAGAAAAAAACAGATAAAAAAACATACAATTAATACATGTGTATTTCGACATTAAAATATCTTCATACTTTATCCGCATGAGGCAGTTTTCAGTAAATTTAAGACGGATTTCATCATTATTTTGTAAGCAAGCATCTATTTTGTATCGTTTTTTGTTGATATGTACGACATCATTAATTTCATATGTGTAATTATTCACCATATCTTTATATGGTACACAATGATGATAATCCATTTTTGACGTTTCTGCACCCATTCCATATATGATTTCTAAATAAACTGATAAATTTCAAGGAACGAATGCTTACGAAATGTATGAAATTTGGTATGTTATAATGTATTAATTAAGAATATCCCTTCAGTAACCGATGCGCACACTTTTTAATACAATATAGAATGTAAGTAAATTTTAATCAAACGAAAGATTTTTCTATCAATAGAAATTAAGCATGCATAATGATTTTATTTTTCATCGTTATAATTTATTAATTAAACACATGGCTATTTTTCTCTTTCCCTCTCTCTCTCTCTCTCCTTGTCATTATGGTACTGCCAAACTGTATAGGTGATATGTTTAATAAATTCATATACAGATATTAATGTAATCGCCATTCATATACACGTTAATATATGCATTCATACATTTATTACTGTTTAAAATATCATTCAAAAACGTAAGCTAAAACAGAAATGAGTTATGCACTTGATTCTTTAAAATGTCATTTTTTTTAGTAAATATTATTTAAAAAGGTTTTATTTAAAAAATATTTACCAAAAAAAGAAGAGAAAAACTTTACAAGAATTCTATGCATTTGAGTAGTATTTTGCAGAAACGAATTATGTGAAATTTACTGAAGCCAACAAGAGATGAAAAATTCTTGTCAAGAAATGAAAAGAACATAATAAGGAAAAAAAATGTTAATAGTTCAAAAGTAAGGAAAGAAGAACAAAGATAAAAGAGAATCAATGATAATTACCAATGCCATTGCTTTGTTGACATTTTAATTTAAAAGAAAAATCAGAAAGTGATGAATTGTGCGGTAATTTCACCAAAAAAAAAAGTTGAAAAAGAACAAAAAATTCTGCAAAAATCAGTTTTTGTTTCCCTTTTTTTTATTTCAAATACATGTATGAGAATTGTTTTAAAATTAAAATGTGTAATACTAATTAGCAATATTTTTAAATATTGGCAGAAAAGAAATAATTTTTAGGAAAGGATTAAAATATTCCGACTATGAACTTGTATTTTGAAAATTACACACTTCAAAAGAAATGGGTTGCTTACAAGAAATTTATTGCTTCAACCAAAAAAAAGAAAAAATAATTCAAAATTTGAATGCGAATAATTTCTTTCGTTTCAATAATTAGTAAAGAATATAGAAAATTAGAAAAGTAATCATATATTCATTAGCTAATTTATTTGCTTAATTATCCGCATATAACACTAATTAATGTTTTTTGAAAAAAAATGAAAAGAATATATGATTGATTTTTCAAAAAACTTTGGTTTGTTCATGACAAACAATAAATCATATTTCAATAATTTTTATTTTTCTCCAAGCGAAAATAGAAAAACGAAAAGGATTTTTTTCTTCAATCGATTGGAGCATTTTTACCACGGAATTAAATATCTATAACATATAATAAAATATATACACAATAAAGAATATAATGCAATATAACTAACTAATTTAATTAATTAACTACAGCATAACATAATTAACGAGTAAATACAAATATACCATTCACTGTGACTTTCATTTTCTCCTCATATTTCAGAGATATGTATGTATGAAAAGATTTAACAATCTGCATGAAGTAACCCCGTGGGAAAGGAGTGACCGAGAAATCCCAGTGCAAACAGTTAATTTCATATTACTGATTTCTCATCCAAAAACAATAACAAAACAAAAAACTGATCAATTTAAAACATCTGACAAATTATCGATTATTGTATGAATGTGTTAAAAGACGTCCGCAATTTGAATGCAAACCTATCATTGTACAACACAAAATGTTGCGGAATTATTCTCGAGAATTGTGCTTGTTTTTCGGTATTTACTTAGTTGCGTATTTCTTCTTACTCTTTTTTTAAATAGTTTTTTTGATTGCAAATTATTTAAATATATTTTTGTGACATTAATTTTAATTTTAAATATTGAAAAAATGTTATCTTTTTTCCAAAATTTTCAATCTTTCCATCTTTTACAAATTGTTGTTATTCTTTCTTTGTGTAATTTTTTTTTCTTAAATTTTTGCCAGTAAGACTTTTTCCATAATTTTTTTTTGAATCATTGCTTATCAACTGATATATCCCGTGGCAAATCCATATAAGTTACACACATGCGGAATAGTAAGGATAATTAGTAAGGGTAAATATGAAGTACATTTCTTTGTAGGTTTTGTAAAATGGTTCCAAATATACGCTATATCGGGAATTATGATATAAATGCAGAAGGGAAATTCCTTTGGGAAATTCTCTGTCAGTTACGAAATCTTGGGATTGGAAGAATTGTGACAAAGAATGAATGGGCAAGAAAATGGCCGAAACAGCCATCGTACTTAAAAATTGTTCAAGTAAATTGAATGGATTGTTTAGGCATTTTTGGATGTTAAATAGATAAAAATGGGAAAGATATGTCCAAGATATATTTCGATAATATTTATGTACTTTTCATCAGAAGTCACAATTAACCATTAATTAACCATTTTTTGTTGTTACTATAGTTTGCTGGTGCTAAATTGTTAACATGAAATTGTAAAATAGTAATTTTTTAATTTTTAAGCAGTGAAAAATTCATTTTTTCTAATTAGATTTGATTTTTAGGCCTGTCCAAGTATGGATCGTTGGTTACTTCGGGGAAAACTTTGGGCAGATTGGACCTTTAGAGGCATTAATTTAGGCTTATATGAATTTAGCACGGATTTAGCACGCGCAGGTATGTCATAGCTATTCTTTTTCCGATAACTACTTTTTTATTTTGGTACTTTCTCGAAAGTCCATTTGATTCAAACTTCCATATTCTTTTCTAAGAGTGCTCTTTCTAATGATTAAATCAGTTTTAATAAGAGAAAATTGTTGCTAATAATTGGTTCGATTTACTTTCTCTTTTTAGAATTAAAGAAATATTACAAGTAAATTCAATCCACTGTTATTTTCGTTGTTATTAATTTTTTCTTTATTTAAAGATTGGCGTTTAATCCATAAGCACGAGGAAGATGAATTTATAAAATGTGATAGTCCTATGAAGCCAATTGAGTATCCGAAAACGATGCCACTTCCCCCATATCTTGTACGTTATCGCTGAAGATTCTTTTTAGGCATCAAGAATTTTTTTCTTTCTTATGACTCTCAAATTTAAATTTATGTAAAGAATGATATTTTAATAAAAGTGTTACTGAAAGTTCTTCCCAGTAGAATTTTATGTTTTTAAGCTCTTTTTTCACAAATTCCAGCGAGCTGTATGTGAAAATGGTGATATAATTAAAGTGGAAGAGAAACGGATAAATTTGGATTTATGTTTGGACCCTCAATTTGGCATGATTAAGCATCTTTTCAAACAGGTCTGCCTAAATTTATTAGATTTTCTAGTTCACTTTTCCTTTTCCTTATCTTTTGTTTGAAATTTTGACAGCAAACTTTGCCTGTGTTTTCGGGGAGCTATGGATTAATTTAGTTCAATTATTCATTAAGCTTACTTCATCATGTAGGTGTATTCTTTTTCTTTCATCTTATCTAGTGAAGTATTGTAGGTTGATGTGCGACATGGGAATTCTATTTATGACGAGACAAGACCAGAAATTTGGTTAGATTTATATGGTGATGAAATGCCGACAAAAGTAGACGCATGGACGGTTGGTCCCGCAGAATTACGACCTCATTTTGACAGTTCTGTTCCGACGCCTTGTCCTCCAGAGCTGGATAACATGCCATTGCCTGAATTTAAATTCAATTCATCGGAGTTAGAAAATATAGATGATGTTGCAAATAGCGAAAATTCGGGTAGGAATAAATATCCGCAGAATTAATGCAATGTTTAACTAAAGGACTGGAATGAACACTGTGATAATTATAGGATTAATAACAACAAAAGACCAGAAAGTTAACTTCTGATTAGCAGCAAACAAAGAGAAATATATTCATTCAGCGAACTAATAAAAATTAGTTGATTTGTTTGAAAGAGAAATAACAGTTTGAAAGTTAACAAATGGTTGACTGTAAGATTAACGATTTATGCTTTAATATTTTCATACATTAAATTTAGTAATGTCTCAAAATGTCTCTTTTCTTTTTTCGCTTTTAGTTTTTATTTCAAATTGTTATTTCTCTCTCCCATTTTCATGCTTTATTGAATTGCTTCCTCCCAAGTACTTCTAAACTGTTCTATGTATAATGTTAGTCTATTGTATATAAACAGTATTATGTTGTTGAATAAAGCATTAATTGTTTCCTTATTTTTCTTTCGGCAAACTGAAGCTGTCATTGCTGTTAACCATGAATATCTAAGACAATTGTTGATTGCTTAGAGGAGCTTGTAATCGTCCAAATAACCATATGAGGAATAATAATTTATGTAGCATACTGTTAGGTTTGTGTTTTTTTTTTCAAAGTAATGCATTATTTTTGATTGCGTTCTCTCTGTTGTACATACCCCAATGTAATTTTTTATAAGTCAGTGATATTTTCATATGTGATCTTTGTATGGTAATGATATTTCTCGAGTATATTAGGCAAAGTGATGGTAAAACCGGTGAAAATGATATTGGTGACAGGGGGTGTCATCAGTGGTGTTGGTAAAGGTATTATCTCGTCTAGTTTGGGTGTGCTGCTCAAAGCTCATGGTTATCGAGTTTCGTTTATTAAAATTGATCCATATATTAACATCGACGCTGGTACATTTTCACCTTTGGAACATGGTAAGGATTTCAAATTTTATGATATGCATTACATAATTAGTTCCAGACGAGGCTAAGAAATAACAGTACTGATATCTTGGAAGGTCAGTTATTTTAGTCGTGTGAATAGTTGTAATAATTAAGATGATCTATGAATCTCGTTCTGATGCATTACTATATCTATCCATAATGCATGTGCACTAATAGGAGATGTAGTTTTTAAAATATTTGAATAATTGGGATTGGGAAATCTAGTGTATTTTGGTGATATTAACCATATTGGTGTTGTTAGGTTCAATTACAGCCGTATTTCTGAAGAAGAAAAAAAAATGCTATCAGTTTTTTTAATGTGTGATTGATCATGATGAACAAATGATATAGCTACATTCTGTTGTGTGTAAAATGGGTAGTGTGCTAACTTTATTATAGGTGAAGTGTTTGTTTTGGATGATGGCGGTGAAGTCGACTTGGATTTGGGAAACTATGAAAGATTCTTGAATATTCGTTTGACACGCGATAACAATATTACAACGGGCAAGATATATCAGCAGGTTTTCACATTCTAATCATCATCTATTTTCAGTACGACACTTTGTGAAGCAGATCAAACGCTTTGTAACTGAGTAAAGTATTTCAGGGCGCACTACCCATTTTAAGCACATTACGGGAAGAATGTTCAGGAAAAATTCATTTCAAATATTCGTTGTATATTTATAGGTTATTGAACGTGAAAGACGTGGGGATTATTTGGGTAAAACGGTGCAAACAATACCGCATATAACAAGTGCAATCATTGAATGGATAGAGCGTGTTGCAACAATACCGGTTGATGGTACTGATCAGCAACCGGAAGTTTGCATTGTTGAAGTTAGTATTAAATGGTTAGGTTTTATAGTGCATCTATAAAAGTTATTATTCTCAAAAATTTCTATTAAAGCAAGTAGGAAAAAACGAAAATGAAAATTTTTTCAGCTTGGTGGTACCATAGGTGACATTGAAAGCATGCCTTTTGTTGCTGCTTTTGAAAAGTTCCAAAGACCTACGTTCAAAGATCGGCTAATGACAGGTTGAGTCGATTTATCAGTTCTTTTTTCAGTTTGAATTAATCAGACCAAAATCTAATGATTATTCATTATAGAACTTTTGTTTGCAGTACATGTTTCTGTAATTTTGGAACCGAAAAGTACAGGTGAGCTAAAAACGAAACCAATGCAAAATAGTATGCGTAATTTACGAGCCAGTGGTTTAACCCCAGATTTGCTGGTATGTCGAAGTGAGCGACCATTAAATAAAGCATTACGTGAAAAAATTGCGGCGTTTGGGATGGTTGAATTGGAACAGGTGAAGCTTTTCTTGGTTTATAATCTGAGATCATTGCATTATCATTAAAAATAAGCTTAATTATACGATTATTTTATTTCAGGTAATTAGTGTTCACGATGTCTCGAATATTTACAAAGTACCTCTTCTGCTTTATAAACAAAATGTGTTGGAAATGATTGTTGAACGATTGAAATTAACAGCGGTAAATGCTGAAGACGCACTCATACTGAAGCCCAATCTTTTCCAGTGGACACACCTCTCCAACCTGTTTAGTTTTTCTTTATTTTAAAAGGATTAAAGAACTGGAATTTATTTTCACGAATTTTAATTAAATTAAGGCAAATGGCAAGATAACAAAGTGATGGTGAATGTGAAGATAGGGAAATGATAAGTTTAAATGCCTGAATGCTTAAATGATTTGGCAGGTGCGATAGTTTTCAAGAAGAAGTTCGAATTGCATTAGTAGGAAAATACGTACTAATCCCTGATGCATATGCATCATTGAACAAAGCCCTTCGACATTCTGCAATTCATGCTAAGCGACAGCTTGTTATTTCGGTACATTTTTGTCTAAAATATATGTTTTTCTCTGCATTCAATTCTTTCACGCTTTTTTTAATCACGAAAAAATTGTTCGTATCATACATTCATTTTTGTACCCAAATTTTAATTACCATATTGTTCACATGTTCATAACAGTTTTTCTCTTGAATAATGAATAATGGAATTGTGTCTGCATGAGCCTGGCATGAGACATGGGACATGAGAACTCAGACATGATCTTTAATCAATAATTCCATCTAATCTACATGTTGATTGGATTTTTCATTCAATCAGTGAAGAAAAATTTTAGTGAATAAGTTATAGATCAATGACTTTACTGCAATTTTTATATTGATAACGTTATTGCATTGAACTCAATAACTTATTCACTATAACTTATTCATTAAAATTTTTCTTCAGAGATTGAGTGAAGAATTTAATCAATAGGTAGATTAAATGGAGTTATTGATTAAATATCATTAAGATGTATTGATGTGCTGAGAACACATTCATATCATCCGAATTACCTTGAACTGCTTGACTTTAATTCCAACCACCATTGTTATTGCAGATACATATTTCATAGATGAATGAAAAGTTGTCATTAAACTATGAGATAATTTCATACTTTCATCTATTTCAAATGCTTGATGTGATTTCTGTTTAGTATTTATATATTCTTCTTATAGTACATTCATTCGGAACATCTGGAAGAAACGAATGACCCAGCACATATAGCGGATTATAAATATGCATGGGAGACCATTAAACGATGCCAGTAAGTTTGCTTTCATATATGGAAATAATTCATTTTCTCCTTGTCATCTTAATACGTATTAGAAATTTGAAGATCATTGCAAAACCAGATCTATTTAATTAATTAATGAAGCATTTTTAGTAATAACACAACTACATTCCGAACTTCCCAAAAAAAATGATGTCAATGTGAAAATGATGTTAATGTGAAAATGTACTATTTGGTTCACCCGCCATTTAGGTTCTTTATGGTTCCGATTACCCAATCTTAGCCGGTCATCATGACCGTAGATTGTTAATTTTGCTCGAAGCTTTCTAATTGCAGATTCTGTCTGTACTTCGATATTTTGTAGCCGCTTCTAGTCGTATATGACAAACCCAGTGGTTTCTGTAGTAAATTTTTAATCACCATTCCTTGAAAAGCATGATTGAAATCTGTGTCTCTTTGATTACAAAAGTGGAAAATATGTTCTTTATTTTGGCAGATTAATAAAGTGTTCATTAGTTACAAATTGGGATTATTATCAGGGCATTTTTCACGTTGTTATTCCAACTTATGATAGTGTTCTGTTTTATTATTACACATTCGAATAGCACTGCATTCAACTTATAATTTTAGAGGTGTAGTGGTGCCGGGCGGATTTGGTGGTCGTGGTATCGAGGGAAAAATTGCAGTGTGTAAGTATGCGCGAGAAAACAATATTCCATTCTTAGGTTTGCTTCACATCATCCGTCATTTTATCTCCTCCAATGTTGTAATTTTCGAATGCATCATTTTCATGATCTGCTATTGCACTTCTCTACAAAACTTAATTATTTGGCAGGGATTTGTCTTGGCATGCAATGTGCTGTAATCGAATTTGCACGAAATGTCTGCGGTATCAAAGGTGCTAATTCAACTGAATTTGACAAAACAGTTGTCGGAGAACAACAGGTAAGCTATAGGCTTTAACTCTTCGGATAAAAATAACTAGGTAGAAATAGAAATGAAATGTTTTTTTGCTAAAGGAATGCTTATGTGAAAGTAGTTTTTTCTGAAGAAATATGGTTTAATAATTTTTGCATCTAAAAATTTAGATTTAGAGCGAAGTGGTTTTTGTTTTTTGTTTTTGTTTAGCTTGTTTGTGTGTGTCTATCGAAAATGTGAAAGTATAAGCGTTTATGTTAAGGGTTCCATTCAAATGCAGATTAAAAGTTTTGATCTTTTAAGGTAGTGGTCGATATGCCAGAACACAAAGGTGACGAAAAGGGTATGGGTGGTACAATGCGTCTTGGTTTGAGAGATACAGTTTTTCTGACGGAGAACTGCAAATTACGTAAGTCTTCTTATAGTCTATGCCTCTGACATTTTCTTATAGTCTATGCTTTTGTCTGTATGTTCTTATACTTTTATCTGTGCGTTCTCATATATATATTGAACTAATAAATTCTGTTTCGTATTATCATTTTAGGAAAGTTATATGACGCAAAAAAAATCAGTGAACGTCATCGGCATCGTTATGAAGTTAATCCTAAAATCGTTCCGAAACTTAGTCGAGCTGGTCTACTCTTTGTCGGTAATTTTTTATCACTTTTAATTTTTCTCCATGAATTTTATTTATCAAGAAAAAATAATCAAGCTTCATGAAAATTTCATTTTCTTGTGATTTAGGTATGGGGATAAATGAAAATATAGCACATGTAAATGGGAACATATCATCATATTCTGCCTTGTTAAAATTAGTTGAATGTGAAACTTCGAAAACTGTGGGGGAAAAAAGTACGCAAGAAATGTATGCAATCTCTGAACAAGTATGTTTTAATGAACGAATACGTTTTGATGTTCGGTTTATTAGATTATCACCGCACAACTGCAAACAACGACATCGATGATTAATGATCGCAATTAACATTTTTCAGGGAATTTTATTGTCCAAAATTGAAAATTTGTGTGGAACTGGAGGTAATGAGATCAGTGTAACATCTGTGCGCATGGAGATTTTTGAGTTGCAAGGTTTCCTTTCCGTTAATATCAATCATATTTTAAAGCTTTTCTAAAGTAAATCTCACATATTCTATATTTTTGATTAAATATTCTATTTTGTTAGTTTCACTCTTTAGCATATTCTGTATCGTTGTATACATCGCTCCAAATGCGGCAGTTGGTATTCATTTTAGATCATCCATATTTTGTTGGTGTTCAGTTTCATCCGGAATACTTGTCACATCCATTACAACCGAGTCCTCCACTTTTTGGCCTAATATGTGCAGCTTCTGGACAGTTGGAAAGTTTTCTTCGTGGTTCCAAGATACCTTCACCAATGAGTATCTTGAAAGCAGCGGAGAATTATGTGAATGTACTTACTCTGCACCACTTTATTTCTTAGAATTTGGGGAAATTTTTAAAAAATTATCATTATTTTTGAAGCATCAATGTATTCAGCGTGACTATTTTTTGTTTATCGCTTCATAATTCTCGAAATTTCTAACTTCGATAGTTCGAGATCTGCATTAAACTAATCAGTAGATGAGTTAAGACAAATATTGAAACAACTTTATTAAAATTCAGGATTATGATTCCAGGGTTCGAATGTCGCTGAAAATGTATAACAGACAACTCATTTATTTGCCAACAAAGTTAGTACACTGGTTGACCAAAAAACTGATGAAGCTCTATTAAGTGGTAACAATGAATGCTAGGAAGAAACGCTGCTCGATTCGGCTCGTATTGAAAGACTTCTTCATTTTTAACGAAAAGACAATAGGCATGAATAAATGTTTGCCTTACTGGTTGTTATTTTTGTGCATCTCATACTTAAAATCAACTAATTACTCATGGATTTGTTAAGTTGTGATTGACACTTTTCTTTCCATTAATATTGATTTATTTCATTTTAACATTCGCCAGTATTTTTGATGCATTTCTTTTATTTTAATCTTGATTTTTTTCCATGCAAAAAGGGGCAAGCATATATGAATATGTTTGATTATCATTGGCTGTCTGCATTTTTTAATTATCTTTTGTAAGTTTCATTCATTTTTGCTTCGCAGAGTGACATGTAATAATTGCATCAAAGAACTGTGCTTTTGATTTTTTGAACAGTAGTTAATCAGAAACATAGAAAATTTGATCAATCTGTAGGAAATGTTCTATTGAAATACGTATAGAGCGATGATGAAGATTGAAAGATGTAAGAATAAAACACAAAAAGTCGAAGAAATTAATATCATTAACTATAACTATTTCTCAAACAAATCAAACTTCGTTTTTTGTCAAATCGAACGTTGTACGATAACATTATGTACCATATTTATCATCATTTCTGCATATCTCTTTTGTCTTCAGACATCTTTATAATAGTTCTTATTAGAAATGTAAATCATAACAAATTTCAAAAAATCTCCCTTATTTTCAGGTGTCGGAGAAATTGATTGTTCTGTTGTTTTTCCATATAAAAATTAAAAAAGAAAAGAATGATATGAAATACATCGTCTCGAAAGTTTGAAATTTCCTTCTTTTTTCCAAATCTTTTTTCAATTATTTATAACCTCTCATTTTTTTCGACTAATTTTGATGAATATAGTGTTGACAGTAAGAAACGTTTTTTTTCTTCAGTTGAGCTTTACAAATCATTTCGAAATTCCTCACCATTTCTTGTTTTGATGTTATATTGATTCATCAGGCATTTGTCTTTACTCCTTTTTTTCTCCTTTATTCTTATAAAAAATTTTTGATATGCTATTATAGTGTGGAAATTGCACTGAGAAACATTATACAAATTGTTCGAAATGAGATTTAAGATACATCCATCAGATCAAGTCGAAAAAAATTAGTTAAATCATCGATTAGATATAAATAGATATTGTCCCAGAGGAAGGCAGGTCAATGTTTCAGTCATACAAATTAATTGATATTACTTTTATATTGTTGTTATTGATTTCTGGTGTATTATAGTGTACCTGCAATTTAATGTAAATTTGAGTAAAGTGCTATCGAAAAGGGAGGATGAGTAATATTGGGTTACAATGTTGTATGAAATGTATGTACTGTTCTATACTGAGTTTTTAATGTCCTATAATAATGAGTATAAAAGTATTCTAGTTGTTTTTCAGGTATTTTGATTGCAAATACTCATTATTTGTCAAGTGTTACCTAATCATGGTGCTAGTAAATAGTAATTTGTTATTTCATACATTTTTGTGCAGGAAAAAATTTAATAAATTGATTTGGATATATTTTACCTAAATTTGCTAAGTACATACTCTATTAAAATAGTGCTGATAAGCAGTTATTGATAGTTCTTACCAGTGTTCTATCGGTAGGTTGTTTTATGTTGAACGTTTGACTATTCTATCAGTTGATGAGGCTTATTTTTTTCTTTGCCTAAATTAATATATAAATCTTTTGTAGTGTATTCATGCAATTCAGTGCAATAGATAGAGATATGTTGGTAATTGATTACACTTAATTCGAATAGTAAATTGAAATGAAAAAAACTTGAGTTGTCAGTAAAGGATGACACCATTCGCTTTATAGAATTGCTTTAAAAAAATTTTGTTATAGCAAACAAAATATGGCATAAAGTATTTTTACATAAGAATTCTTATAAATACTTTAATAATAATTTTTGTTATTTGTTATTTCCTCTATTGTTATTACTTTGGAGGCGTTATTATTTTTGTTTCTTGCTTACTTTTTTTTACATCTTTCACTGTAATTTGGTTAGAGAAAAGAAAATAAGTATGACAAAAATAGATTTACATAAGTGAGAGAGAAAAATGTGCATTTGCAATTACAGGTATACAGCAAGTGCTTTTGCATGATGCGCATCTTTTTTTTCTCATTAAATTTAATATTTTCGAGAAAAGGAGAAAGAGAGGGAGAGAGAGAAATGATTAATCAATAAATGTTGCAAAGAATTGGTGCCGGGTAAATTTCTCGGAGTTTATAATGGAAAAAAAAGGAAATTGAAAGCTGAAAACCCGTATTCTGTAAGTGCATTTTTTTTACCTGTTGAATATGTGTGATCCGGATATAATGGAGTTTAATGCATAACAAACCTTACATATTATAGAGTCTCTAACAGAAAATTTAAGCATAGATTTAGTAGTTTATGTTGAGAAAAGAAAAACATTATCAGTTTGGCCATAACTGTTTCATATAAGATCATACCTCTAACTTAGGAATAAAATCTAGATCTAATTGATAGTGATTTTTGTGAATGTTACTCATACATTCTTTGTTCCAGCTCTCGTTATGCATTATTAGCATCAGATTGGATAATTTCTATTTCTTTTTTTTTCTTTTCTCATAATAAAGTTTTCTTGTTATTTTTCAGTGAAATACTTTTTAATGTTTAAAAATGATTTTGATATGTACATTTGAAGAATTTTATTTTAGGAAATTCCAACAAATTATTTTAGAAAAATGAAACATTTGAAGAATATTATTGTAACAATTTTCAGTATAATAATATCAGAAGTATGCATATGGATGTAATAAATTCTAATAATAGCTTACTGGAGCAATATTAATATTACTTCATGATATGAATTTAT